CCCCCCCCCCCCGCAAAAAAGAAGGTTTCTTCTTATTGAACAAGAACAGAAGAACAGAAGTAAAATAATTTAATCCAGGAAAGTAATACGTTCTATTTGTAAAAGTATTATACAATAATTTCTTTTTACCTCATCAAGGAAATTACAATCTCGTGTATATTTAAGGCCTGTGTATTCTGTAAGGCAAGAAATTGTATTATCTACAAGTTACAGAGATTCTCCAAACAGCACTTAAAATAATATGGATGTTAAAATTATTTTATGTAAAAGAAATCTCAAGCAAGATAATTTAAGGTCATTGGTGCAAGATTTCTTGATGTATGTGAAAGATACTTGTTGAGTTAAAATGATCAAGTAAATTACTGATAATTTCTCTATATTTCATTGCTTTAAACATAAATTTGATATCTTGATGCTTACACAAATTAGAATTTGGGATTTGAATTCTTCGAGGGACATTACATTTATAATTAAGGCTTAAGGTTTGATGATCCATAATCTTGTCAGGAATGTGCTGTAATGAATAAGGACAAAGTTATAAATCTGATAATACAGTTATATTCAGGTTCCTAACCATGTGTTATGCCGCAGAATAGCAATTACATTGGTAATTATTTCTGTCTTCTGTTATTGTAACATTGTGTGTTAATTGTCTTTGCTGCTGCCAAAGTAATAGAGAAATAACACAGGATGCTTTTGTATCTCTTCCCAACCCTTATCCCACTCCATGAGTCTGATCAGGGCTGGCCTTTCTCCTATCCAAAATCCTATGGTGATCACTTTGACTCTAGGGAATATTACATAGATGATCATTTCCATGACTTCTCTGTACCAGTGGCAAAAGCATCAGCAAACCACAGAGAGGAGAGCTTTAAGGTACAAAGCTCAACTGCTGATGATGTGCAACCATGGTTATAAGCTGCTACTTCCTGGGTCTGGGAAAATGATTTTTCCTTAAAGAACATTTAACTAAGAATTAGGAGAGGAGCATGGAGAAGTCTGTTCTTTGTAGTTGAATCCAGTCATTAGTAACCTAGTATATGTTGTGTTTTATTAGTTTTTTTTCTTTTTAAGGGAATAAACAAGCTTGTCCATTGTGCCCTAAGGAAAAATTCAGAGCTTGTAATAGTCATAAGCTTCGTCGTCACCTTCAGAATTTACACTGGAAAGTCTCAGTTGAATACGAAGGTTGGTATTTTTCTCCTTAGGATAAAGTGATGTATATGATATTCAACATTTTTTACCAGTTTTGAAGTCTTTCTGTAAATATAATCAAACAATTTTATAAATTATGAAGGATTTAATGTCTCATTTTAAATTTATTTAATAAAAGAAAGCATAAGCATACAGTGGGTATATGACACAAGTTTAGTGCAGTAACCATTGGTTAGACATCTTTATACTGGTTACTTTGGCCTTGGAAGTTCATGCTGCCAAATGAACAATGTCTTAATTTGTACTTTTCTTTCTGCAGAAGAATAGTACAACTACTATTGTTATCTTGAAGGCAAAGTAGATGTAATACAGAAAAATAAAATACTTGGTACAAATATCAGAAAAAGATATCTACTGATAGAAGTTAGAAAAATAAAACAATAATAAGAAGGACAGAAATGATACGTTTTGGGGAAATAAATTTAACAAGAAAACTCATAAAAAGGGATGGTAATGGAAAAACAAAGGAGGGGGTAACAATGCTCAATAGGAAATTACTCATTACCTTACTCATGTAACTGTAACCCCTCTGTACAGTATCTTTA